GCGGAGGGAGGGTTGCTGTTCCCCACCTGCAAATGTCCATGTGTTCTGAGCACCACAGCCCCTGCTGTGGCCACCATGCCTTTTGGTGACTGAGCACCAGTCTTACGAAGGACATGGCCCTCCTGCCTGCCACTTACTTGCTAAGTATTTGTTTCTTTGAAGTGGGTAGAGATGTGCCCTGGAGCTGCCAGCTGTTCCTGGTCTCCATTCTTCCTCCAGAAGGACCTCAGTCCACTTCTGTTGTCTGGCCTATGGAGTGAGGCTCCATTTCTTCACCTGTGTGTATGTTCTAGCTCTTATGAATGGTATTAGGCCTGTGGCTCTCTTTTGACTTCATCTCTTGAAGAGCAGCCCAGAATTAAATTCCTAAGAGTATCCCTTTCCTCCTCTGCAGCTCAGAAAACAAAAAGCAAAGCAAAATAAAACATGGTAATTCTCTTGCCTCAGCCTCCCAAGTGCTGAATCTACAGGCATGCACCACCACTCTGACCCTCCCTTTCTTTATAAAAGAGTTTTCTCAGCCTGGCCGTGACACACCCCTGTAATCCCAGCACTTGGAAGGCTGAGGCAGGAGGATTGCGGTGAGCTCACTGTGAGATCCCTGTGTGTGCATCCTGAGCTGTGTAGGGAGATTCAGTCTCAAAAAAAAGCTTGGAAAGAAAAGTTTTTTCCGTGGTGTTTTTTTTTTGTTTGTTTGTTTGTTTTGTTTTGTTTTGTTTGTTTGCTTGCTTGTTTGTTTTGAGACAGGGTTTTTGTAATTCAGTCTGACCTTAAATTCCTTTGTAGCCCAGGCTGGCCTCCAACTCACAGTGATCCTCTTATCTCAGCCTCGCTTGTGCTAGGATTATAGGCGTGGGTCACCACCACACTTGGTTTAAAGTCAAGTTTGTATTTTATTTTCTTCTCTTTTTTTAAAAAAAAATTATTTATTTATTTATGTATTTATTTGGTGGAACTGGGGATTGAACTCAGGCCCTTGTGCTTGCCAGGCAAGCACTTATTCTACTGAGCTATCTCCCCAACCTACTGAGCTATCTCCCCAGCCTTATTTTCTTTCAAATATTTATTCACTTATTTTTTTTTTTTTATTCACTTATTTTGAGATAAGGATTTACTGTGTAGTCCAGGCTTGTCTTGAATTCACTCTGCATTCTAGACTGATTGCAAATTCATACTCCCCTTGAATCGTCCTCCAGAGTCTAGGATCATAGCTGATTGCCACTGTGCCTGGCTGCTCAAGTTTGTATTTTATTTTATTTTTTAAAAATTAATTAATTTATTTATTTGTGTGTGTGTGTGTGTGTGTGTGTGGCCAGCTCCGCCCACCAGGGGGCGGGGCTGGCTGGCGTGTGGTGCTGGGGGATTGAACCGCGGTCCCTGTGCTTTGCTAAGCTTGTTCTAAGTAGGTGCTTTAG